ATTGTCAGACAAACATCAGATTTGCAAATTATTAATAATTCAATGATGAAAAAATGCCAGAACATTCAGAAAAATCTGATAAAGTAGCATAGCGATTATTTTTTCACTCTGTTACAGCATAAATCTGCATTTACTCTGCATTTAACTTAAACAAATATATGCCTTTAAGCACAAAAAATTTTCTTTTTAATTATGTGTGACTAACTTATAAATATACAGTTTAAGATGCATAATTTAAAAGTAACTCTTGCCATTTAATATTCTTATTAAATAAATATAAATGACTATAAACTATAAGAATCTTTACACAGGAGACAAAAAGGAAGAGAAAATAAAATAATTTTTAACTAAACAAATAGAGTTAAATTCAAACATAAAAAACTTCTAGAATAATAAATAGAGTTAAAACAAGAAGTAGTAAAAGAAGTTCTAGAACAAGAACAAAAGAAACAGAAAAGACTGAACATATTTTATAAGATCTATCTTCAGACAATTCAGGTAATGCTGATTATACTGAAAGAGAAGAAGGTACAAATGAATAAGTTCAAATTGATAATATAGTGCTAAATAATAGAGCAGAAAGATTTTCATATAATAACTATAAATAAAGCTTTATTTAGAAGTATCTGAAAAAACTACCACCTTTAGAAAATATAGGAAATGTGTTAGGTATTTTATCTCAATTAATAGTCAAATTTGTAAGTTTGAAATGGGATCTTATAGTAATACTAATAATTTTATTACATATTTAGTAAAATATTGTATTACTTGTGAAGCTGATCAATTATAAAATCATAAAAATAATAAAGAAACTCTAAATTATTCTACTAAAAAAGACCAATTAGACAAAAAATTTGTTAGTATTATTATAAAAGATAATCAACCATTAAGCATTCAGAATGATGAAAAATTTTAAGAATCTGTAAAAGAATTGAATCTATTTTATGAATTATCAAGTGATAAAAAGTAAAGAAAATGCTAGTTAATAGCTATAATTTTTGTAAAAAGAAATTATTTGTCTATTTGAGCAAGGTATTCTCTAACTTTAAACTTTTAAACTTTAAGAAGCAGAGCTGATTATTTAGGTATAACTTGTTCTTTTGTAAATACTCAATTTGAACTTGTGATTCTACTTTGGCAATTAGTTATTTAAAATATCTACATACTAGTAACGTTATTGTTGAATATCTTAAACAAATAATTCAAAACTGGAATTTAGTTGGAAAAATATTTACAATTACTACTAACAATAGTAGTAATATGGTTAAATCTGATAAGCTACTTAAAAATTCTGATGATATTATATGATTTCCTTGTACTGCTCACATCCTGTAACTAGTTATAGAAAAAGAATTTCTTCTAGCAGAAAGACTAGTTGCATATGCAAAATGCCTAATTAATTTTTATCACGTTAAAACAAACTGAAAAATTAATTGACATTCAAAAAAGCATGAAAATTGACTAACAAGAGGTAAAATTTTTTAAAAATTAAATAAAAATATTTAAAGACCGAAATTTTATTATAATTACATTTTAATTTATAATTTAACTCTTTAATATTAAGACTTTAGTAAAAATGATCACTATCTCTGACTTATTTTTGATGTAAAAATATGTTAAAACTCATCATTTCTTTTTTGAAAACATTAGAAAAAATTCATAATTATATTGACACAATGATAATAATAATGTTAAGAGATTCAAACCCTACAAAAAAAAAGAATGTAATAATAAAAAAAAGAAATCTATATAAAGAAAGAAATAATAAATTATAAATAAATATATGTAAGAAAAAAAGTAATATATTAAATATATAGTTCTTAAATAAATAAAAAAATTAATTTATAAATAAATCCTTTTAATGATAAATAGTAATATTATTTAGATTCATTTATCTGGATATCTGATTAACATTTTATCTGCTCATCTGAATACCTGACCTAATTTATCTGAATAAAATCTAGGTAATTCAGTTATTATCCAGATATTCTAAGTTTATCTGAATATCTGAATAATTAATCCAGGTAATATTCAGATAATATAGTTATTATCTGGATATCCTAAGTTTATCTAAGCCTATTTTTTAATTTAAAAATTTTTTTAGAATGATTTATTAGCAGATTATTTGACATAATTAATAGTAAATATAAGAGGATATTCAAATTCCATAAGATAATATAACAAATTTAAATATATTTTAAATTAATATTTATTATTATAAAAGTAAACTAGCAAATTAAATATATGCCTTCTAAATTGATAATTTTTTTATGTAAATATGAATAACATCTCCTATAGCTTTGCTTTTTATATGAATGATGTTATCTACAGCTTGCAATATTCATATTGATGTTTGATCTTATACAATTTTCTATAAGCATGTCTGCAAATTCATCTTTAAAAAATCGCCAAAGGGTTGGAATAATTTGTAAAAAGAAAAAAATTTAAAATTAATTTCAAAATGGAAGTGTACATTAAATACTTTTTGCATTAATTTTTGCACGAATTTGATTAACCTCATCTCATTCTTGCTATAATTATACAATCTATAAATAAAAATATCATTAAAAGAAATACAATTTACTTGAATTTATGTTCTGAAATTTTTTTGATTTTTTTTAACAGATAATCTAACAATCTGTATATTTAGCCTATTATGTTAAATAATACATATTTTTATATTTAATGAAATATATAAAATACTTTAATTTATTTCTGTTATATACTCAAATAAATTTTAGGTTTATAAAGGGGATTAAAAGGATTATATAGTTTAACTTTTAAGAATTTTAAAGACAAAAATGTGATTATTAGTTGATTAAATGTTTATTTTTTTAAACTCTGTATATAGCGGTAGGGAATATTATCAATATTAAACTAATACCTAGTATAAAAGCTTAAAAAGAAGGTTACAATAATAGAAAATTTTCTAGATAGGTTAGAGATGTTTAATAATAATTATCAATAGCTTATAACAATTTATTGTATATTATATCATATTATAATAAAATATGTTTAATCATGAATATGCAATTTTTATTAAAGATCTGCATTTGATATTTGTTATACATATAGTATATTTACATTTTTCTAATTATATTTGTTATATATAATAATATATGAGTAATATAACCCACTAATTATATAGACTTCAGAAAATTTTACCAATCAGATATCAATTTCGTTTACAAAAATTAAATGCTTAAAAGTAGATGGTGATAAATTTATACATTTAATTATCATAATATTTCCTGCATCAAAGAATAACCATTCATTAGATGCAGATATTACTGGAATAGCTAAATACTTTTTGGCTAGCCATAATAAGATCAGAAAATGTACTTCTTAAAAAACCTACTATTTAAAAGGGCATGTATCAAAGCCAATATTATCAATAGCTATATATTCTTCAAATTTATCATATCCTTTACGTTGATAATGATTGGCAAATATGTTTTGAAGAAGAGAATTACTAGATGATTTTTGTCATTATTGACTGGTAGCAATGTTTTAATTTTCTTCATAAATTTTTCTTTCTTCTTCATAAATTTCTTTTAAAAGAGTTTTTATTTTAATTATTTGTAAACTAGAAGCAAAATTAAAAAATTTATACCTAAGATCTAAAAGAGCAACAATTATTCCTTTTTTTTGAGACATATCTCAATAATAATTCATTATTAAATATAAAGCTGATTTAACTCTTTTAATTAAATTTCTACAATCTTGTAAAGTATTGATCTTAATTTTTCATTATTTTGAATGATTATCGACTTTATCATTATTTCAGGATCCTCAATACCAATATCATTGTCAAATACTATAGTAGGATTAGTAAGATCAATTTCTTCAGAATTTACTATATTATCATTATTAATACTGCTAAATAACCTATTTTTAATTATTACGATTGCATTATACATAAAACTAATTATTGCATATTTACTATCTTAAAGAAGTTCAGTTTTTGATGCAAAAGGCTCTAATATAATAACTAATTATTTAATTGCAGCCCATTCTTCTTCATTAAGATTAATTTTGTTAAGTCTTTTTCTATCATTTTTTGTTGTAGGATCTGAATCTCTTAACATTATAATTGTCATTATATCAATATAATCATGAATTTTTTCTAATTGTTTTCAAGAAAGAAATGATAAGTTTTAACATATTTTTATATCAAAAATAAATCAAAGATAGTGATTATTTTCACTAAAATCCTAATATTAAAAAGTTAGATTATAAATTAAAATGTAATTATAATAAAATTTCGATCTTTAAATATTTTTATTTAAATTTTAAAAATTTTACCTCTTATTGGTCAATTCTTATACTTTTTTAAATATCAATTAATTTTTAAGTTTATATTAATATGATGAAAAAATTAATTAGGCATTTTGCATGTGCAACTAATCTTTCTACTAAAAGAAGTCCTTTTCTTATGACTAATTGCAAGGTGTGAGCAGCACAAGAAAATCATATAATATCATCAGAATTTTAGCTTAGATTTAACCATATTACTATCATTATTAGTAATAATTGTAAATACTTTTCTAACTAAATTCCAGTTTTGAATTATTTGTTTAAGATATTCAATAAAAATATCACTAGTATATAGATATTTTAAATAACTAATTACTAAAGTAGAATCACAAAGTTCAAATTGAGTATTTACAAAAAAATAAGTTACACCTAAATAACTAGCTCTGCTTCTTGAAATTTAAAGGTCTAAAGTTAGAGAACAAGACACAACACCTTGCTCAAATAGACAAACAATTTTTTTTTTATAAAAATTATAGCTATTAACTAGCATTTTTTTTACTTTTTTATCATTTGATAATTCATAAAATGGATCTAATTTTTTCACAAATTTTTGAAATTTTTCATTATTCTGAATGCTTAATGGTTAATTATCTTTCACAATAATACCAATAAATTTTTTGTCAGATAAGTCTTTTTTAGTAGAATAATTTAGAGTTTCTTTATTATTTTTATAATTTTTGTGATTAATCAGCTTCACATGTGATATGATATTTCGCTAAATGTGTAATAAAATTGGTAGTATTACTATCAAATCCTATTTCATGCTCACAAATTTGACTATTAATTGAAATAAGATACCTAACAAGTTTCTTATATTTTTCTAAAAGTGATAATTTTTTCAGATACTTTCAAATAAAGCTTTATTTATAGTTGTTATATGAAAAACTTTTCGCTTTATTATTTGGCATTATATTATCAATTTGAACTTGTTCATTTGTATCTTCTTCTCTTTTAGTATAATTAGCATTACCTGAATTGTCTAAAGATAGATCTTGTAAAATGCGTTCAGTCTCTTCTGTTTCTTCTGTTCTTTTTCTAGAACTTCTTTTATTACTTCTTGTTTTAATTCTATTTATTGTTCTAGAAGTTTTTTTATGTTTGAATTTAATTCTATTTATTCAGTCAGAAGTTGTTTTATTTTCTCTTCCTTTTTGTCTCCTGTGTAAAAGTTCTCATAGTTCATAGTCATTCACATTCGTTTTAATAAGAACATTAAATGGTAAAAGTTATTTTTAGACTGTACTCCTTAAACTGTGCATTTATAAGTTAGTCACATATAATTAAAAGGGAAATTTTTTATGTTTAAGAGCATATATTTGTTTAAGTTAAATGCAGAATAAATGCAGGTTTATACTGTAATAGGGTGAAATAATAATCGCTGTACTACTTTTATCAGATTCTTCTAAATATTCTGGCATTTTTTCATCATTAAATTATTAATGATTTGCAGATCTAATGTTTGTCTGACAATATTTTTATTTACTACAATATATCCTGTTTCTGATGATGATAAATCGCATTATACTAAACAAATTATTAGTATAAATCTTAAATAATAGATCTTTTATCATGTAATTTATATTATGTCTACAAAAAACATAAGATGAACTTTTACATATGATTTAAAAATTAGATCTAACAGATATTTGGATAATATTCAGGATAATATAAGATATCTATATATTATTCAGTTATTCATCAGATTATCTGAATAATTCAAGAATTTATATCAGTTCAATCTAGATATCAGATATCTGGATAATATCCGTTTTTAATGGATAACAGATTCAAATACTAATCCTAAAATATTAGATATTTAATAATATCATAAGTATTTATTATACTAGTCATTGGGAGGAGTGATACAGGTAAGACAAATTTACTAGCAAATCTTATTCTTGAAAATAAAAGTAAGCATATACATAAAAGACAAAAGAGAGAATCCAGATATATTAAATGTGATGATTTGATAGTTTGTGGTTATTATCCTAATGAGCTAAAATGGATATTTGTAAAATACATATATGACATAATTTAAAGAGATCCAAGAGTACTATATTATGAGAATATTCAGTTTAGCTATATTTCTCCTAAAAGAATTTTAAATATGAAATCATTCTCATCAGAAAGGAGTATTATTACTATTTTTGAGGACTTGTGTATTGTCTCAGAGTATATACAAAATCAAATTATCCCTATCTTTACTCATGGACTTTATAGAAATATCTCACCTTTTTATGTCACATAACGTTATTACTGTATACTAATAATTATTTGTGAGAATATTTCCCATTTAATAATATTTAATGGCAGAAGTTCTCCTCAAGATATTTCCAAAATTATTGGACGATATACTGAAGATGTGAAAAGTGTATCTATGGTTATTAATAGCAATCTTCGAAAAGGTGAGTTTATTGTTTTTGATTTAAATAAATCAGACAATAATTTACTTGCAATTCGATTGAGATTTAATACTACTCTATTAGATCTGCAAGGTGAGATAGAGTTACAAGAGAAGTGCAAAAAAGAAAAAAAATTCTTATCAGATCTTAAAAATTCATGGCTTCTGAAAATCTGATAATTAAAGTTTTGATTTTTTGTTAAAAAATCATCTTTTTGCAATGAAAAAGTTGACAATAAATAATGCTTGTGCAATTGCTGAAAAACGTGATGGGCTTTGTCTTTCAACAAGTATATTAATTGTTCACCTTTATTATGATATTATGCTAAATATCACAAATGAATGACTTAACGATATAAAAAAAATGGTAAGACATAGTATTCATATTGTGCAGGCAATAGATCTCTTACAATTGAGAATGTAAGGCAATTAGCTCATAGTAGAATGGAACATGTATTTCTACTGAATATATTAATGTTAACACTCCAATGCAGTGGTGACATGCAAATGATCATGAGTGGACTACATCTCTTAATAATATCAAAAATAATAATACATGGTATTCATATTGTACAAACAAGGCCAGTTATACAATCAAAGATACTATGCAAGTTGCTTTTGGTAAAAATGGTAAATGTTTTTCTAAAACATATATTAATAGTTCTTACCTTTATTATGACGTTGTTCTGAAGGACATGAGTGGAATGCATCTTTTCTCAATTTGAAAATAATAAGACGTGATATCTATATTGCGTAACTAATAGGCTTTATACACTTGAAGATGCCAAACAATTGGCTTATAATAGAAAGGGAGTTTGTCTTTCTGAATATTTTATTAATAATCGTTCAGCTTTATTATGGATGTGTGATAAAAAGCATAAATGGTTTGCTACTTTTGATAACGTTAAACATTCAAACTCATGATGCTCATTTTGCCTGAAATATAAAGAGAAAAGCTATGTCATGAGATTTTAATGAAATACCTTGGCCTTCCTTCACTAATCCACAGCCTAATTTCTTAAAGACACAAGAATATCTAAATGGACTAGAACTTGATATATTTTATTCACAATATGGCTTTGCAATTGAAGTACAAGGCGTATAACATGAAAAATATCATGAATTCTTTCATAGAGGAGATCCCAATAATTTTATCAAACAGCAAGCATAGGATCAACTCAAGAAAGAATTATGTGAAGAAAAATGTATTACCCTAAGGTATGTTTGGTATTATGAAAACTCATATGTAGTTATTTCAGAGCATCTTCATGAATTAGGTTTTATTGAGTAAACTTAAAACTTTAATTACATTTAGTAAGGCTTGATGTATTTATTTCTGGCAACAGTATTTAGAATCAAACTAAATATAGTCATACCTCTATATAATCACCCCTATATAAGCACAACCTCTGTATATTCACACTTTTATTGCATCCAAACCTTTAATTAAGAAAATTACCTTTATATAATCACGATCATATTGTAATCACTATCACACTGATAATATGCGCCCAACCTTCTTTTAGTAAAGTAAATAAAACCTTTGTATATTCACGTCATGATTCTAATAGAGGGAAGATCTGTAACCTGATAATCAAGATTCCGTTTTGATTGCATAATGATCTGTGCAACACACAAAGTTTTCTCAAGTTTTTTTAGCTCATTTATAATGATAGTTTGGATGGAAGATACTTCAGAAAGGTAAGTTCTTCTTTTTTTTAATGTCTTACTTTAAGGGATATATATTGATATATATAAATTTTATTTTTTATTTTTGTAAGTTTTGGTTTCTCTAGAATGGTATTTTAAATGGGTATATTAGTTTTTTTTGGTTTGGTTTTGAAATTTACTTTAAGAAATATATTAACGTCTTTTTTTTATTTTTTGTAGGTTTTGGTTTTTTTGAGATAGCATTTTAAATGGATATGTTGGTTTTTTTAGTCTGAATTTTGAAATTGATTTTAAGAAACGTACTAATGTTTCTTTTTTTTTATTTTTATAAGTTTTGGTTTCTCTCAAACAGCATTTCAAATGGGTATATTGATTTTTTTGGTTTGGACTTCAAATGGACTTTTAAACCAGTATGTTAGTTTTCTTGAAAGAAATTTTGTTTTGAAATTAGCTTTAAGAAATATACTAACACTTTTTTTATAGGTTTTGGACTTTATAGAAGGGACTTTAAACTGATATGTTAGTTTCTTTGAAAAGTGTTTGGATTAGCTTTAAGAAACATATTAATGTTTTTTTTAATTAGGTTTAGCTTCTTGGTATGTTAACATAAATACAATAAAAGATCAGGAATTATGATATGAGATATCAGAATACAATCAATGAGGTATCAACTTGTGGAAATTTTAAATTTTAAAATTAATATGTACAATGATATAATTTGTATTACAAGGTACATTTTTATTTGTTTCGCAAAGATTCTAGTACAACTTCAAAAATAAAAATAAAAAATAAAGACGAATTTTATTTAAAAAAAAAAAAATTCTCTCGCTAGTATTTATAACAATGTAACATTTTAATTAATAATTTCAAAAACTTTTCAATTGCATAAATTGAAAATAATTGACA